CTCTCTTTTCAAAGTTCTTTGCATCTTTCCCTCACGGTACTTGTTCGCTATCGGTCTCCCACCCGTATTTAGCCTTAGATGGAATTTACCACCCGTTTGGTCTGCAATCCCAAGCAAACCGACTCGTCGAAGACGCACCGTACGACGCGGTCCGAGGCACAGACGGGATTGTCACCCTCTCCGATGCCCTGTTCCAAGGGACTTCTCCCCGGACCTTGCCTGGCGTCGCCTCTTTAGACTACAACCCAACCTTAATTAAGGTCAGTTTACAATCTGGGCTGATCCCGCTTCAGTCGCCCTTACTAGGGGAATCCTTGTTAGTTTCTTTTCCTCCGCTTAGTTATATGCTTAAATTCAGCGGGTCCTCTTGCGTCACGGAGGCTCAAGATTGAGTGTTTATTACTAAACAGGCGTCCTCGATCCGAAGATCTGTAAAGGACTGGGCCTCTCCGCCGTCTCATTGCTTACTCAAAAGCTCTTCGGTCCTCGGCTGGGTGAGTTAGGTGCTTTACGAGAAAGCCTAGTACCCCGCCTCGGACGGACCGAATGAGGCGGCGCGACGAGAGCTTGACTTGGCGCCACGATCAACCAATTGGTCCATCGAAGCGCAGACTCCACCGCCACAAGAGTAGTAACACTCCGTGGGGTGATGTGGGGGACAAGCACTCCGTCACGCATGCTCCCAGGCATATCCCGGGAGCGCAAGATGCGTTCAAAGGTTTGATGATTCACTGGATTCTGCAATTCGCATTACGTATCGCATTTCGCTGCGTTCTTCATCGTTGTGGGAGCCAAGACATCCGCCGGTAAGAGTTGTATGGCATTTCGCTTTGATCAAAATTAGTTCTTACACTAATCTTTCGGCGTCAGCATGCGCTGGTTCACCCGTTTGGTTAGAATCGGAGCGTGAGTGACTGTGGACGATGACCCAATCAAGAGTACACCGAAGTCAGAGGTACTAATAAGAGTACCGGTTCGCTGGGGTGTGTGTTAGGTGTGGATATTAGGTAATGATCCCTCCGCAGGTTCACCTACGGAGACCTTGTTACGACTTCACCTTCCTCTAAATAGTGAGGTTTAACCAACTTCCCGAGGTACGTTCGCCGTGAAGCTTGCGAACCCCAGTCCGGAGGTTTCACCGAACCATTCAATCGGTAGGTGCGACGGGCGGTGTGTACAAAGGGCAGGGACGTAATCAATGCGAGCTGATGACTCGCGTTTACTAGGAATTCCTCGTTCATGATTGAAAATTGCAACAATCAATCCCAATCACGGCACACGTTCACAGATTACCCAGGCCTGCCGACCAAGGTGATAGACTCGTTGCGTGTGCCAGTGTAGCGCGCGTGCGGCCCAGGACATCTAAGGGCATCACAGACCTGTTATTGCCCCCAGCTTCCTTCGGTTAGTCACCGAAAGTCCCTCTAAGAAGTTGAGGCAATGCAAGCGCATTCCCACAGCTATTTAGCAGGCGGGGGTCTCGTTCGTTAACGGAATTAACCAGACAAATCACTCCACCAACTAAGAACGGCCATGCACC